TTAAGGCAGGATTTCCACTAGTGACTTACAGCACTGAGAATTATCTACCCAATGTGTGCCTGGACAAGGACATATTTTACATTGCCTCAGTGATGGTTGAGTGATGGTTGAGTGATGCTCCAACACACGATAAGTCATAACTGGGGAAAGGGCCTATATCTCCCATAAGTATTATTTACACAATTTCTTCTGCGCATCATGATTCTTAGGAATTTATTTTATTTGTTGCTTGAAACATTTGAATAATCTCTGAAAGACATTAAATGGTCACGTCACACAATAATTGGAGAGAACCCTTTTCTCCCCCGCAAAAATGTTGGCAATGGTACGAGAGAGACATAATGCCTTGTGATAAATACTTTCCCTCTCTTTCTGCCTCCAATAAATAACTGTTTGATGTTCTGAAGCATTTCAGAAACCATTCAGAATTCCCAGAGTCAACAGTGGGACAAAAATAAACATACATGTCAATTAAAGTTGAGCAATTGAGAGCAACTAATTATAGTTATTGTTTTTCTATGGAAAGATGAAGCCATTTTTGCCATGTTCTGTACTACTTGTTATGAAAACTCAGTGAAACAAATAATTGTTTAAAAGAATGCATATATATATATCTAGACTAGAAGGGTCTTTTATGTGCTGTTTTGGCTCTCTTAATGATTTTGGCTGTCCAATTAATGTGTATGTTTCTTTAATATAGAAAAGAAAGAAAAATGAAGTCCCATTTCTCAGTATGCGCATTCATCTTTCACGGTGTTTTAGAAATGTTTAAGCAAAGCTGGTTGTCTCATTAGGGACCCATTTTGACTGCCAAGAGCAAGTGGTAAAAGGATGATGTAGAAGAACCCAGCCTGGAAGTGCAAAGCATTAGCACAGGCTGCCTACACAGCAATTTTTGTTTTCTAGGTTTAGTTTCATACTGCTGATTTTTAATGTACTAAAGAAACAAAAATTAAGAACATATGCTAGGTTTGGAGACTCTTACACACTCTTACTGGGCAGCTCCAGAACTGCTGATGAAAAGCAAGAAATACCAAACATTAAAAAGTAACCTGGTTGTCACATGAGATCTTAACACTGATAGAGCAAGTTGATGGTATAAAATGCTGCTTCACTGAATTTTGTGTGGTAAATGCTATAATTCTTGGCATACATTTTTCTCAAGACATTATTTTAAGTTAAATTGGCTCCTAGGATGGGCATAAACAATCAACAAAATATAATGTGCTTGTAATATATTTTAGCAAGAATTTTATACTTAAAAAAATAGGTTTAGAAGAGATTTCCATATTCCAAGAGCAAGCGGGAATGGCCTATACTCTCTACCTTCCCTGATTCCGTCCTTATATGATAGAGATATCTCAGTAGGGCTGCAAGATAGGTAAAGAATAGGCTGGTGTTGTAATGAAAAACTGAACATAAAAGAACTGTTGCTTATTTCTGAGAATGAACAGGGGAACAGTGTCCTAGAGGGAAACCTTAAGGCCAGTGAAGAAAGCCTCTGCTTTTTTTCCCTCTGAAATATTACTAATTGCTAATTAGTAATTAAATGTCGAGCTCGTAGCTACCACCATGGAAGAACTGCAGTGCTGTGACCAGACATGAAACAACCATCTTAGCCAATTTGGTTTGCACCTCAATATCACGAAGACTGAGTATCTAAAGACTAGCCTGAGCGCCACCACCATCCAGGTCAGTGGCAAAAATCTAATGAAGACAAACTCCTTCTGTTATTTAGGATCCCATCTTCACAATGATGGTGGCATTAATGAGGAAGTGTGCGCAAGGGTGAACACAACATGATTGTGGTGGAAGGAGATCACTGGAGTGCTCTGTGATAGGTGCATGCCAATTCACCTAAAACTGAAAGTGTACAGAATGATGGTCCTCCCAGTAGCACTGTATGGTGCTGAGTGCTGCCAACCACCAAAAGCCTTAAGCGCCCTTTACATGCCATGGAGATGTGCATGCTCCATTGGTCATTAGGTGTTTCCCTTCTCGACCACATCAGCAGTGATACAGTTCGGGAGCAGATGGGTGTGGCACCAATAACTGAGAAAGTGTGGGAGAAACACCTACAATAGTATGGCCACATTCTGCAAGCAGCACCCCACATCATCGCTTGCACCGCCTACCACTTTAACACAGATGGCAAAAGCCCACACGAAAGACCAAAGCGAAGGTGGCAGGACACAATTAATGTGGACATGGCATGGGTCCAGGTTACCTGAGGGACTGTCTCGCCCCCAACACATCAACCTGTCCCACCCAGTCAGGCAAAAATGGCACATCGTGGACCCTGTCAGTGAGAGAATGTCAGCTGGCGGGGCCCAGGAGGAGACCCTTCTCTGCCATTGCCCCCACCCTTTGGAATATTTTCCCCACAGAGGTGTGGCAGGCCCCTACTCTTCTGGCTTTCCAGAAAGGACTTAAGACCTGGCTCTGTCAGCTTGCATGGGGCGACAAGAGTTGTAATCAATCCTGGAGGTGGCTGGCACCCCGATGACACTCCGCAAGCTGTTCACCAATTTTATCATTCCTTGGAATTTATTTATTCTTATTTAAGGTTGTTTTATATTGTATTTTAATTGATTTTATTTCTTCTGTAAACTGCCCAGAGTTGCTTTTTAATGAGATGGGCAGTGACAAATTTGATATATAAATAAATATATAAAAAATAAAACGTGGACATGAAAATCATCCAGTTGGACATGGTTGCTGCGTTCGATTGCATGAAATGGCGTTAATTTCTGTAAACTGCCCAGAGTTGCTTTTTAATGAGATGGGCAGTGACAAATTTGATATATAAATAAATATATAAAAAATAAAACGTGGACATGAAAATCATCCAGTTGGACATGGTTGCTGCGTTCGATTGCATGAAATGGCGTTAATTGATCTGAAAAGCGAACCCTGAACCTGTGAGAAAACGCTAGGATGAAGAAGAAGATTACTAATCGCTAATGTCTGTACTAAGAAAAAAGAATGTTGTCAGTCAACCTGAAGAGAAAGGAGTATGGAGATATAGATTCAGCTGCTTTTGAGGAGGACGTACGGAAATTGAATTGAATTGAATTAATTGAATATTAATTGTTAAAGTATGGAAGGAATTGATGTCTCAGATGTGAGCACAGCATTCAGTTGCATATAGGATGCATAGACAAAGCACATGGGAGTACTTGCCAGCTCATTTACAGTATTTGTGATTTTTTTTTTTTTCATTTGAATGGGCTAGTTATGATTTTATGTAGACCATGGAATTGAAAGAAGTTGCATTAATCCTTGTAAAATTCCAGGACTGATTAAACTTTTGAAATGGAAGTCCTTATTGAATTGCTGAGGAAAATTAAGTTTTAAGGCCAGCAAATGAAGATTTCAGACTGCAGCGTACATCTGAATGAACAAGAGTGATTAGCCACAGGAATTGACAGCTTATGTCATTGTTCATTATCAGTTACTTCTCCTTTTTCATGACAAGTGACTTCTTCCTTTGACTATATTGTTCCCTTTATTTAGCACCATTCCTTTGAGTGTGTCGATGTGTGCATGCCTTAGGGGAAGCATATGATTACTCTGATCTTTTAATGCTGCTTTCCCCAAATTTATGCCCTCCAGAACCCATCATTCTCACCTAACATGTCCTTTGGAAAGTTAAAATCTTCCGTATCTGAAGAGCACCTGATTGAGGAATGCTGGTTTAAAGGATTCACCATGTGATCATTCCTTTAGAAACTCAGATAAGGCATGAGGCACCACTGCTTCCACATGGCTTTCCCTTATGGACACTTTCACCCTATATAGCACTAATGCGCTCAAACTGATTCACATACTGACACATCTTGGAAATTTACTAGACCATGTAATCGGGTACAGAAGTGAAAACCATAAAAGAGCCAGATAAAATTTCCTTTCCTTTCATTAAATTAAATAGTAAAGGATAAATTCCCTCTATAAATTCAAATCATTAGGACCAAACAGTGGTAAATCTAATACTTTTGGTTAAGTGAAAGTGAGCCAAATACCTTTTCTGCTCAATCTAGCATCTAAGCAGAGCTTTGCTGGTGATCTGTTAGAGGTGCCTTCCAAGGGCAACCTCTGTTAGCTGCTTGACTTTCCCAGCATCACTGAAGCACTTTGTGTTAGTCCTCATTTAGATGTCTTCTCCAGTCTGCTGTTCCTCTTAAACTAGTTTCAGCAAAGCCACTTCATACAGAGATAGGTATATATTTGGGCTATCTTGCAGTATTGAGGTTATCTATAAAGTGATTCTGCAGTTCTGTAGACATCCCAGTCAATGAGTTTGTAAAAAGTCAGCAACACAGTCTCTGTTTATGACTATAGTTAAGCTGCTCCATTTATAGTACTTTAATGAAAGCTTATTTCATGTTCTCATTCTTCAGACCTTTTCTTCTTATTCAATATTTCTTCATATTGAAGGCCTCATTGTAATCTAGATTCTATAGAAGCTTAGATTTTTCATTTCATTTTCTTTTTCTTTTTTTACTTTGTGTGTGTGTGTGTGTGTGTGTACACAAAAGATTGCAATGTGGTCTTCCTGCCAAAATAATAGCAGACCTCTGGAATATGCTCAATATGCAACAGAAACATGGGAAGAAGACAGGGAAAGAAATATGAGAAGACTATAAATTTAGTTCCAATGTACAAGAGGTTGCATAATGCTTGTACATGGAGCACTGTCTGTATATGACATGAAAGCCAGCTATAAATTAACATGCTTTACATATTATGCAACTTGTATTGTATTATCTTCCACCTCTGTTAATATAGAGAGTAGTTCGTGGGGTTAAAGAAATAGACAGTATATATTTTTTTGGATTTCATCAGGCATCTTTGAAATCAGAAACGTAGTCAGGTTGTTCAAACTATTCTAAAGCATAATTGATACTTCTAGCTTTAAAAGAGCTCAAAGGCTGTATCAAACATGTTAAACTTCCGAATTTTATATGTGTTCCAAATGAGCTTTTCTTTTTTTCTTCTAGGCTGACAAGAAGGAACGGGGCAATGCCTTGAATACAGCAATAGATAATATGTGCAAGAAAACAAGAGATCTCCGCAGACAGGTAATCTCCCCAGGGACAAAGTGTGTTAGATTTATGCAGGCAGTTAGGATAGAATTAACTCCCTTGATGAGGATATTAAACAACTACACACAATATTGGAAAAGAACAGTGATATTTGGGCAAAAGAGCTAAAAATCCAGATACCATTTCTGCAGATTGACTAAGAACAAAGTGTAATCACCAGGTATTAATTATTATTACTTGGTTTTTTATTCTTAAATATGAATTGGAAAATCGGTCATTATAATATGCTGCACAATAATATTTCATTTGAAAGAATGGAAAGTATGTATTATTGTTCTTTAAAATGCTTTGTAACTCTTTTTATATTAGAACCCTTGAAAGCTCTTGAAGAATTAATTTTCTTGAGTCAGCTGAAGTAGATTGGAAAAAGCTGTGGTTCTACATGTAATATGATAATATGATTTATTAGCATCTCATAGTGAGCATCCGTACAGCAAGATCCTATGCGTGAGAGACACCCTTAGTTGCAGCACCCACAGATGATGGAATCAAGCTGGGTGCTCTGCTGACGGACCTGCTTCCATCAGCATGGGAGCATCCTAGCATGGCACCAGGAGATGACTTCCCTTTCCCCTGGTTCTCCCTGTGTCTTCTCCAGGAGGTCAGGGACTTTGTTGTTCAGACCTGGGGAATTGTGAGGACTAAAAGGGGCAGGAGAGGAAGAGGAAAGTCCTGCCACATGAGGAGGCAAGGACTTGCCACATGTCCTGCCACATGAGGAGGCAAGTTTGTGCAAGATTGGGTTGCATCCAAATGCTGCAGCTAGATTTTAATCATGTGTTAGGTGATCACTCTTAAAGTCCTTTTTAATTTTTTTTAAAATTAGCTTTTAAAGCTTTTAAACAAGAAGATAAAAATTAATATAAACTAATACAAAGTAAGGGAGAAAAAAGAAAGAAATAAATCAAAGAAAAAGTAAAAAGTGCAAGAAAAGAAAAAATGTTAAGGAAAAATAGAAAAGAAAGAAAAAATATATAAAGAAGTGGCTTCCAGTATTCTTCACAGCAGTTATAAGTACAAATATATTTTAATCTCTCTCTCTCTAACATTGCATCATATTACTCTTCTTTCTATAATCTATCTTGTCAAATCATCAAAACCATGATCACAAGTTCATTTTTTTTTCAAAGAGGCTTCCAGTCATTAATACATGTAGATGGTGTTTTTTTTTTTTCCTAATCAAAGAAGTCAATTTATCCATTTCAGCAAAATCTGTCAGCTTTACCAACCATTCCTCCATAGTGGATAGTGTTAAATCTGTCCATCTCTGTGCATATAGTAGTCTTACCACAGTCATCATATATTGAAATAATCTTCCATGGCTTTTTTCTGTTTGTCCATTAATCCTAAAAGGAAAAGTTTTGGCTTCAGCTGAATATCGATCTTTAAAATCCTCTGTATCAAAGTAGGTATTTGAATCCAATTTTTTTTTTAGCTTTTTTACATGTTCACCAAGCATGATAAAATGTCCCTTCATGCTGTTCACATTTCCAACATACATTTGAAGTGCTTTTATACATTCTAGATAATTCCTCTGGCATCATGTACCAATTATACATCATTTTATAAAAAATCTCTTTGAGATCATAACACAATGTAAATTTCAACACTTTTAACCACACATTTTCCCATTGCTCCATCTGTATATTATAACAAAAATCCTTAGCCTTCTTTATCATATATTCTTCAACCTGTTCTTCCTTTGTTTCCAATTTCAGCAAAAGTTTGTACATTTTAGCAATTGCATGTTCATCATCAGTATCCAATTGTATTTCAAATTCTGACTTACTTTACTCCATACTGTAAGTCTTTTTATCCATTTTAAATCTTTCAGGTAACTTTAAATGGGAAAACCATTGACAACTATATCCTTCTGCTAGTAATTGTTCTTTTGATTTGATTTTAAATTCCCCTTGATAGTTTTTCAGGAAGTGCCGGTATGGCAACCATTTATCTTTATCTGACATTTCTCTTCTATAAAATACTTCTTGAGCTGAGATCCATAAAGATGTTTTCGGGCACAATCTGGGTTTGTATCTATTCCATATTCCCCAAATGGCATGTCTTAATAAAATGATTTTTAAAGCCCACATTAATTTTAACTTTATTGTCCCATAAATATCCATGGCATCCAAACCTCAGGTTGTGATCTTCTAACTGTAAAAGTCTCTTGTTTCTCAGCAACATCCATTCTTTATTGTCCCATAAATATCCATGGCATCCAAACCTCAGGTTGTGATCTTCTAACTGTAAAAGTCTCTTGTTTCTCAGCAACATCCATTCTTTCATCCAGGACAATCCACGAGTAGTGAAATACAATTTTAAATCAGGTAACCCCAATCCTCCTCTTTCCTTTGCATCTTGCAACACTTTATATTTAAGTTGTGTTTTTTTCCTTAGCCATATAAATTTAGATATGTCTTTTTGCCATTGTTTAAATGCAGCATCAGTTGTCAAAACAGGTATTGTCTGAAACAAAAACATCATTCTTGGCAAAACATATATTTTTATCACAGAAATTCTCCCCAACAGTGACAATTTTAATTGCTGCCACTACTTTTAAAGTCCTAAATGTTTAAGACCAAGGTATTTAAATAATGGTCACCTGATCAGTTCATATGGGAAGCTCTGTCACATATACAATCTCTGTCAGATGCTTGACTGGTAGATTGTGGGAGGAGATCTCTTCTGTATTGGCATCTACATTTTCCTCTGATTTGTTTAATTCCTATATGAAAGTATTTCAGTACTGGCAGTTTGTTGGACTTCTTGCTTTTTATTTTCTATATTAAATCTTTTCTTCTACTGGTGCATTACATAACACTTATATAACACTTTTTCGTATATAAATTATACATATAGAAGTTGATTCCCTGCCTTTCCATCACAGATAGCAAATATAATGAATTAATGTGCAGTAAAAACCAGCAGAAAAAAGTCTTATAAGAAACCACGACTCGGAGATCAAGCAGCCCCCCATGTTTACAAAGACTGGGGGGGTCAACAAACAGTGCAATTCTGATCAGTCCAACTCTTGTAGGCGACTATTCCTTGTGGGTGCAATTCTTTCAAGGTGGTAGCACTGCTTTCCCTCCCCCCCCCATTGTTTCTATTGCCTATTTTCCCCCTCTATTAATTTAAAAAATAGGATCTTCTTCGAGTTAAGCTTGACTCCTTGTGACTTCATGGAGACAGCCATGTAGTTTTCTTCGCAACAACATGGAAGCAGTTTGTGATTATTTCTGCAGTCTGGCCTACAGGCCTATGGTATGTGGTGATCTCCCATCAGATCCTGGCTTTTAGCCAGGTCTGACTCTGGTTGCCTTGTCAGCTTGGCCAAAGCTGGCTAGGTGTTGCCATCTAACTTGGCCCCACAAAATTAACCTTCTCTCTGTAGAGGTTTTTCTCCAGAAGGAATTTATACTCTATCATTCCTGCATGCAACACTTGATAATAATTCATTATTTATTTTTGGAATGAATTTGCTAACAATTTGCTAGTGCTTTGGGGTCTTTTAAAGATGCTAAGATTTGATTTTTTTTCCTCTGACAGAATAACCACTAGAAATTTGCCTTGCAAAGAACAAGACCTTTGTTGCATTCACATGTCTACAAGAAAATCATGGTGACTTTGAAGCTGTAAGACTGCAGCTTCCTGCCATTGATCACAAACTATCACAGAACAAGCAAACAAGATGTTTAGAGCAGAAGTCCAAAATTCTGCTCAGCAAATGAACAAATTTGGTGGTGGGAGAGAAATACAATTGGCTAGCCTTGGAAGTAAATAAAATAGAATACAGTATATTAAAGAGGAGAGCAGAATCATTTAGCACAGAGCCTAAGACTGCTTAAGCACCAGCAATATACTCTGTCTGACCATCCTGGCTTCTAGAAAGCATTTACGCTTTTGCCAAATATGTGTTTTTGCTACACGCAGGAAATTGAAGATGCATTCTGACCCAGGGAATATCCTTTGGGAGTATCTATTCTCACTGACATCATTTTGAAAGCATGTTTTTTTGTTGTTGTTGTTGTTGCCTTTTACTGCATTAACATTTTCATATCTGCTGCTAAGAAGCAGGAAATAAATATTTTGTGGTGAATAATTTAACTCAATTGCATTAATAACTTTATTTTAAAGGTTGCTTTTCCTGATGCAATTACCCCCATGGAGACTGCTTGCAACTGTTTCCATAGGTTGGATGCTACATAGCAGCATCAAAACATACCAGAGATGATTTGCATGACTCCCATTGCTGCATTGACTTGCTTTCTTTCCAGCAGCTTTCATAGGAAGCAATCTCCAAATAGCAAGACCTTCCTGTTGGGGTTGGTTTCCATTCTCAAGAATTAAGTAATCAGGGAATTGTTTGAGTGTGCTGGGATGTGGTTTCAGTCTGGCCTGGCATCAAATAGTGATTTGCCCAATACTGTGTCCATGAGTACATGTGCATAAGTAGTGATGGAGAAACTCAACTATCAGATTTGAACAAAATGCTCAGCCAAAACTGCTGATAATTCTGCTGTATCTCTAATAAACAGCATACATTGTTCCCATTTATCAGTGTCTACAGGAGGTCATGGGTGGAATGGGGCACATGCGTAAACAGGAATGTGATGGGTTGGCCCTTCTGGCTCCCTCAAGTGAGGTCCCTAAGTCTTTCCTGCCCAGGTTGCTCTGGGCAACCTCCCATAATCTGGAGGAAAGCTATGTCTGATCACTGCCACCATCATTTTTTTACAGAGAAATTTCCTCTGCACCTTTATTTCATAGGAGGCAAGTGGGACTTTCTTCTTGTCCTTCTGTAGGTAACAGAGTGGACAGGATGGGTGGCAGGCTAAATTCCATTTTCAGAATGAGACTATAGATATCAAAAGAAAATGCTGTATTATGTAGATGAAGGTTTGGGAGCCAATGAATAACTGAAGACAAAGAAAAAAGAAAAGGGAAATGTCATCCTTTAGGACTTCACTCAGTCATCTTCCTGGCATGAATACACATACTGATACAAGCACAATACAAATAGAACAAATTAGTAATAAGGATACAAATTAGTACTAAAAAGATCTGTGTGTGTGTGTGTGTGTGTTTATCTATCTATTCCTGATTTTCATCTATCTCCACATTTCCCTTGATGGCTATTCCCTTATGGCTTCTCTGATTCTCTTCTCTGGGTTAAGGTGAATTTCTTACCTGATGGCCATACTCAGAAGAGATGCTACCTGGCCAAAATGGCAAAACAAAATGGAGATTTTTTTTTGTTTTTTTTATGTTCAGGAAAATCAAGTTTTCCTCCAGAAACATTTTGGGAAGAAAAGATTCACATATGACCAAATCTGGACCCTGATTTCTTGTTACACTAACAAATCTGAATCCGTTAACCAACTTCCAACCCGGGCATATCAGAGGAGAGGCTATCAGGAGTTCTAGTTTGGATATCAGACTAATCTTTTCCACCTAATAAATTTCTGATTACTTTAAACTGTTCTTGACTGCAGCGATTGAAAAACAGTTAAGCAGCATATACTAATAAGAGGATCGTTCTGTGTGAATGTGCTACAGATTGGATGATAACTGATCAAAAGGAAGAAATATAGTGGACTTCATTTTTCAGATGACTCTCTGCGGGGCATAGAGGAGAGGTCTGAGGGGTGCCCATCCCTGACCTAAAACCGTTTGACGATAATTTGCTTCATGGTGTTGAAGATGAGACTACTCATTTGTAGGTTTTAGATTGCACTTAGTTGAAAGGCTAATGCTAAACAACTATGTAAAAACGGTTTTTATTGATGATGGCTTTCTTTTTCCAGCTTCGCAAAGCAATAATGGATCATATCTCAGACTCCTTCATGGACACAACTGTGCCACTTCTAGTGCTCACCGAAGCTGCAAAAAATGGACGAGAAAAAGAAATAAAAGAATATGCTGCAATACTTACAGAGCACGTGCACAGACTTATTGAGGTGAGGCTGGTGGAAATACCCTGTAATATACAGTATTCAATGGGTTGTATTAGTAATAATATTCTCAGCAACATATACTTGGTTTTTCTTAGCAGCTTTAATTGGTTTAAGTATTTGTTTATGGACTGGTTTCAATTCACCCAGAAATTAATTAATTAATTTCCTTCCTTCCTTCCTTCCTTCCTTCCTTCCTTC